CAGGAAGATCAGAACGCCCACCACAGGAATGGCAGCTGCGATACAGGCCCACACAGCCAAGTCAAAAGGGGCAAACAAGGAAAAAATGTTGATCTTTTCCTCGGGTTTGCGATGTAGGATCCCAACAGAGTAGTCCATGTAGCGTTTGCTGAAGTCCACTACGTTCTCTCGCTCTGGTGTTATAGTTATGGCAGACACTGCCAAATCAGCTCTCTGTAAAGACAAAAATGTATTCAAAATGGTACAATCATAGAGACTTACACTATAGGTCAGGGGTGGCGAACGTCGGTCCTGGAGAGCCGCAGCCCTGCAGAGTTTTGCTTCAACCCTAATCAAACACACCTGAACAAGCTAATCAAGGTCTGAACAGTTACTAGGAAGCTACAGGCAGGTGAGGTTTAATTAGGGAGCTGAACTCTGCAGGGCTGCGGCTCTCCAGGACCGGAGTTCGCCACCCCTGCTATAGGTAATAAGGGCCTTACAAAAATGCACTTTTTTTTTTTCCGAAACAGTATGTTTTTTTGTTTTTCTAAACATCCTTAAAACAAGCTAAATTGTGTAAGATTTTAAGACTGTCCAATGTATCTAAAATAAAGTTTATTTTATTTCCCAACTAGCTTTTTTTTTTAAGCAAAGCCTCATTATATTTGGTTATATTTATAACGGCGTTGTCCTGCACCCATGCTAAAATCAATAAATAAAAATTGTCAGTGGGATAAGAAATTATAGATATATTTTCTAAAAAAAACAAGTCATTGTATCTTAATAGTATCTCTTTTCATTTTCAGATAATTTAACTTGTAATGATGTTTACATATCTTAACTGAAAAACAAAACAAAAATACTGAATAAAAGTATGACATGAACAAAAAAAAAAAAAGTATGACATCAGCTTAAAAGCTACAGTACTGTACTGTGTACAAGCCCTGCTAAAAGACCGAGCTTCATTTAACTGCTGGTTGATATACACAACATCAGACCAAAATCTTTGAGCGATTCACCTCTTGCAGTTTTTTTTTCTGTTTAATTTAGTTGAACTCAATCTAGCTGTATGAACCCTCTAATAATCAAGTGTAGCGTTAGTTCTGGCAGATCACGTTAGTCAAGCTCGCATTAGCTGACTCTCAGCTGATCCCCATCTACCTATGGGAATACGACACCTATCTAAGCACTTAGCACTTTACAGTTCATACCTAAATAATAACCTCTTAGAGTGCAAGGTACTGGCCAAAATGCCACTGCAACCAATCACAGAATTAAAAGTTCATGTCACACAATTATTGTGTTTTCTTGACTGATCATTGCTGTAACTCCTAAAATACTCATGCCCATCCCCAGAACAAACTAGCACACACGAATCTAAAACACAATATATTCTGGTGACCTTTTCAGCAGGGTAATTTGAGAAAATATCATGCAAGTATTAGTTGGGTAACTTTTAATGGCTTTGGACATGTAAATATAATGTTTAGAGAACTTGCCTTGTTTATGAGTTCCCCAATCATGCCATTCCAAGAGCCATTGGGTATCTGAGAGCCATATTTGCTGTCTGCCACCTGGTAGATATCGTACTTGAATCCTAGGATCTTGGCCAAGGCATCCAGGACATCAATTGAGAACCCTTTATATCTTTTGGGCTGTCCGAGGATGTTCTCTGCCACCATCACAAATGGATCCTCCTTTGAAGAGGAATATTGATTACCAAAAGTAACAGACAAATTTTAAATGGTTGGTAAAACTTGCTTTAAGACTTCCTATGGCTCCCTGGAGAACCTTTCTGTAGTAGATGCTTACTGGCCTGGGAGAATGATTACAATTAGACCATGAGGAATAAGCACATTAGAAGCGGAATGTTTCTCCCACCCATGCCAGAGATATGTATTTCAGTAAACAGTGCTATACTTTTATTTGTGAAGGTAGGCATAATAATGTTAGCCAAAATAATTTGAAAGCAAACATGAAAGCGCTTAGGGGTGTTTAGAACTTTATGAATGAGGGACGTTCCAATTCTATTGAATTCTGCAGAGTTTAAGGGTTGCAGATTCTGTGCTCTGATAAGTACAATGATATCTAGTACTTAAGTACTGACCGTGAAAAACGTAATGATTAATTACTCACACATTTACACATCAACACAAAACATAAATATTTTAAATGTTACAATGATAAAAGTAAGTATTACCAACAAAGTGACAACTTTAACGGTAACCCCTTGCATGCCATTCTCGATGCGGCTCTCCTTTAGACTTCCATTTAGGCCATGGACAGAATCCCATGTAGCTAACTGCAGGACAAAGAAGAAGAAGAAGAAGAAAAAAAACAGTACTGTAAGTGTTTACCATAAGACATATCTCCAAGTGAATCAGGGTATTTATATTTACAGGAAATAAATACATAAGACGAGACTTGATCCGTCAGACATTGATTCACTGGTAAAAAGTGGTTCCATTTTCATGTCAAGTTTACTTCAACTTATATCTTCAGAACTGTTGTTGATAGTTTATTTTGTTATTTATTATTATTATTATTATGCATTTATTGGTTATTATTATTATTTGGCCACTAAAATTCTAAAACATTTTTGATACTTGAAAGATGGAACCAGTCATAATGTAAGTATGACTATCTAACGACAATGACACAAGCGTTTCAGTACGAGTACTACACAAAACCGCGCGTCTGCGCCATTCATTAACACAGACCCCCTAATATAATGGCAGGGGAAACACTGAAAAAGCTCTATTTTGTTGTCATTTTGTATTGACATGTTTTCAATCTTAAAATACTTATATACCAGAGTATATGCAGAGACAAAAAAATTATGTAAGTATGCAAAACCATTACAATAATACCTCAATATTATGAATAGTACAAGAAAACATTTAATTGTCTTGAGTGGGGGGCTAAACTGAAGATTATTACATTAAATTCAATTATGATTCTGTTTAATACATTAACATGGATCACATATCAAAATCAATATACATAATCCACAATGACACTGTAAGCGATTAGTTATCAGTATCAATGATGCTACATTTAATGACCTGATTTAGAAGACTGATCTCATTAATCATTAATTTACTTAAAGAAACAAGTGATAATTAAGTTTAATAACATCATTTAACAATAAGGCCTAAGCTCATTTCAATGTGATGAGTGTTTTTCTTTGAGGTGTTTGCATTAGCTGAAAGCACATCAAATTTGTTGCTATAGAACGCTGACAGAAGTAAAAAAAAAAAGAAAAAAAAAAAGAACATTTGCATGCATGTATAAAGTAGTAGGCATATCCCTTTAGGAGGCACAGCATTTTCTCCCCATTACTCTTCCATGAGGAGAAGTACCATGCTGGTCTGGTTCCAGGTGGTGGCACTGGATCAAATTACAAAATGCATCTGATGACTGCATACTGCAGCATCACTTGCCTTGGGACCCAACATCATTTTTAAGCCAATACTTGTCGTCCTAAGCCATAAGGGATTTCTTCATTACAGTATGTACACAAACAGCCCTATAGCAGTGGCACAGGGGGAAGCTTGTAATGCTGAAAAATGTATGAAATTCCTCATTTTCTTACAGAGCTACGCTCTGAACAGTCACAGAGTTAAAATAAAGACAAATGAAAGCCTCTATGACTGTGTGTGGTGGTGTTGGCGGGTTGGTAGGAGCACTGTGTAAAAACTTGCCCTAAATTTAGAAATATACTGCCACAGCAAGAACATTATCTGCTTATTCTGTTTTAAATAATGGGATGAAACTCATAGTTGTTACAGATTTGCTATACTGATTACATTGGAACACATTTTGAAGTCCAAGTCATTTCATTTTACACTGTTACATTCTGAAAATTAGAAAATATAAGATTTCTTAAGTGTTTCACAGAAGGGTATGCAAGTTTTGGGACATACTACCAATTCATAACATTGGTTCTTGAAAGCATGGACAAACACTCTTTCACAGTTAACATCAATATGTAGTAATAATGTGTCGGAGTGAAAATAAATGTATTTGCATTTGCATACATGTGACCCTGGGCCACAAAACATATGGGTCATATGGGTCCATTTTTAAAAAAAATTGAGATTTATACATCATCTGAAAGCTGAATAAATAAGATTTCTATTGATGTATGGTTTGTACGGATAGGACGGCATTTGGTCAAGATAAAGCTATTCGAAAATCTGGAATTTGAGGGTGAAAAAAAAAAAAAAAAAATCTAAATATTGAGAAGATCACCTATAAAGTTGGCCAAATGAAGTCCTTAACAATGCATATTACTAATCAAAAAATAAGTTTTGATATATTGATGGTAGGAAATGTACAAAATATCTTCATGGAACATGATCTTTACTTAATATCCTAATGATTTTTGGCATAAAAGAAAAATCTATAATTTTGACCCATACAATGTATTGTTGTCTATTGCTACAAAAATACCCGTGTGACTTAAGACTGGTTTTGTAGTCCAGGGTCATATTTACTTTATGGACTAAAAGTCAAAACCAGTGTTTCCCCTAGGTTTACGGCTTTTGGCGGGTTTTTTTAATGGTTAAATTGCATTCTATTAATCAAAAAGCAAGTCGAATGAATTAAAATCATGAAACTTAAACAATTTAACATCAATTTATTAAAATTTATTTTTCCAACCTTATGTTTTATTGTTTTAGCATGTCTAATTATTTGAAAGCATAAAACAAGTTTTATTTATTCTTACAATAGTCTTATGATTTTTTTTGCTCAGAAATTCTGTGTTGTGTATTTACATTTTTTTATGGCATAAAACATTCCTTTAATCTATCTTTTAAGTAATGATAATTAAACAAATTTAATTTTTTGGAAAATAAAGGTCATTTAATATTACAATTAAAACATTGAAGAAATACTCTATGCTTATTCCTTAAAAATAAGGTTTTAATAATTTTAATAGTAGTAGTAGCAGCCTGTTACGTACATTCTACTCAACAATAGTAATATATTTCTGCCAATGCCCTCAAGTTAAACCAAACTTTTATTTTGATGGGTTGTCATGAATACCTTTACATTTCTGTGTGTGTATGACATGATGATAGTTTTACTCAAATGAAACGGTCAAATGCTCATGAAGTGACTCTCAGAGCAGTTCTGGAGATGTTGTTCATGTCCTCATTAGTGAGACGGCAGAGGCTAATATCACCGGAAGCATCACGAGCGTTTCAGTACGAGTACTACACAAAACCGCGCGTCTGCTCCATTCATTAACACAGACCCCCCTAATATAATGGCAGGGGAAACACTGAAAAATCTCTATTTTGTTGTCATTTTGCATTGACATGTTTTCAATCTTAAAATACTTATATACCAGAGTATATGCAGAGACAAATATAAGTTATTCATGCAATGATTTTCCTGAAAAGTTTAAAAACTGTGGTGCTATGGCACAGCAAAATTACTTCACAACTGCTGTTAGGTGGAGCCATTGGCACAGAAATTACACACCCTAATATCCAGGGGTGTGAACTCGAGTCACTTGACTCGAGACTTGACTCGGACTCGAGTCCCAAATTGGATGACTTGCGACTCTACTCGGCATAATTAAAGAAGACATGAGACTCGACTTAGACAATGTCCTTGACAGCAAGGACTCGAGACTTGACTTGGACTTGAGTCCTGTGACTCGGAAAGACTTTATGATCAGATCAAAGTCGTTATAGACGCGTCCCTGCAGCGTGCTTGCGCTTGACTGGCAATAAGCCAGAGACTGCGTTCAGGGAGCGCTGGATAGGTTAGTATAAATTAATGGAGTAATAGCATAACTTACGACAAAAGAACAAATACAAATAACAAATAGCAAATGACATGATTCGTCTAGTAGCTATATCCGCTCGTGAAAAGCGCTGCCCTGTCCATTTGATCGCCGCCCAGCAGACACACGGAGCGGGCATGAGAAACAAGATGAGTTTGTCCGACACCGAGGTGCACCATGAGTGACGGGTCCGCATCCCGCCACGACCCTCGCACTCTGCCAACTCGATGTGCTTTAATTTTCATTTTTATTTGTAATAAAC